ATTGTAGCAGTTTCCATTTTGTTTTCCATGATCCCCAATATAACCCCAATATAACCCCTTACTTTATATATAACCTATTTCTGGAACTCTGATCTCCCCAAACTCCGTTGCTTGGAAGCTGGCCCTTGCTCCAAAACCTTCTTGCAGACATCGATTACCTGGCCGCGCTTGACGTGTAGTCAAAAACGGGATGATGCTTGGCGACATGGACATTGCACATGGCAAAGCACACGCGAAAGTCCAGAAGCTGAATCATGCTTGCGCTTCGACAGAAGTGTGCATCGAAGTGTGCCCGAGCCAGCGACGCAACACCTTTGCCTGCTAGCTGTGAATTCGTCTAACATATTGGCCTGGCCTGCATGCCATCCGAAGAGTACACGAAATTCTGTTTGTCGTCACCTTAGTTGCGTCAACATGATGAGACTTGCAGCCGGCCTTCAAACGAACCCGATAGCAGCTTCTACCACATCCCCAGGGATCCTCCCAAAGTCTGTAAATATGAGCTATGTGGATCCCTAAACCCTAAACCCTATACCCTAAATAACCTACCTTGGGCTATTTGGATCCCTAGGGGTTATGTGAGCCAGCAGTGAAGGCCTACAAGCCAACTCCTCCCCTGCATCATCCCTATATCATAAAGCCCCTGTCAAGGATTTATATAATCTCCTTCATTGTAACCGCCGTTTAAGGATTTATATAATCTTCTAACCCCAGTAAGGATTTTGGATTGGAGCTCATATATCCAATTAATCCCAAAGCTTGTAAACATTACATGCCAATCATGTCCGGGAGTTTTGTCTCAAGCGCCGGGCTGTGCTTCAGTTCGAGGATGAAGAGTCCTTGGTTAGGCCTCAGAAGTGGGTTTAGGGTACAGGGCTTTAGGGTTTATAAGGTTCAGGGCTTAGGGTTCAGGGGTTAGGGTTTAGGGGTAAGCAGTAGCTTACTAAATTAAGTGCTAGCTGCTAGCATCTAGGAATGGAAATTTAAGCCCGACATTGAACACTACCTTGACTGAGACCATATCCAGAACCGCCCCAGAATGAGTCCCCAAGCAGACTTCAGGTATGCATGGGAGCCATTGTCTAAAGTCCCAGTATCCCCCCTAATAAGCCCTATAGTAATCCCCTATGTACTGCACTACATCCGCCCTTCAGACACGCGTACGCATCCACTGATCCCCAACCACTGATCCCCAACCCAAGAATGGAACCTTGCTGCAATTGTCTATCTCCGTCTGGGGCTCTGAGTCTATAACAAGTAATTAATTGCCTACACCGAGCCCTAAAGCCTATGCAAAACACCTACGTTGGGCCCTCCTACGCACACCAACAATGATACCTACCTTGGGTTACTCGGAGCTCTAATCCTGTCCCTACAATATTAAACCCCCCCACCAGGCCTATAATTAAATACTCCCCATTGTGGTATAGTATAATATAATGAATATATTGGGAGTATTTAATATTGGGGGGGCTGGAGGGGTTTAATATTAGGGGGAGAGGATTAGTGGTAGAAGAAGTCAGACTGGCGAGGCCCAAACTCGCGGCTGATGCCGGAGCCCTCGCCTAAGTCGAGGGTGGCATCTGCGCCTGTCACTAGGACAAGGTTTGGGGATCCGGGTTTAGGAGTTAAGGTTTTAGGCATCTAGGGTTTAGGGGTGTAGGGTTGAGGGATTCGGGGTTTGATTCGGGTTTAGGTTGATACCTGAACATTGACGGACAAGCTTAATTCAGGCACTTCCCCAAGACTTGTACTGACGCTGCAAGTGGGAAGCTTGTTTATTGAGGGTTTTTGTGCATAGCTTTGGTCTCCCTGTTGCTAGTGTTGGGAAAGCAACCAGGAAGCACTGGGCGTTTGAACTCTTGCATGCGGGTTGGATCCTAATTTCTACAAGCAGGATGGCAAATCGAATGCTTGTAACTTGCAGTCCAAAAGTCCGGAGTGCATCGCATGTGCGGAGCTGTGTCCAATTCTTTCCTATAAAACTGTGGGTTTGAAAGCGAATCAGGCAAAAAGACTCAATAAGATCTTTAGGACAAGCAAGCGAACCATACCTTCTCTGGCATGTTGCTACAGAACTCCCCCAACACATGAGTTTGCATCACAAAGATGTCAACCTTTTCACCCTCTCGCAGCGCTTCGTGCGGTTGTTCTCTGCCAGGCGCTGGCGGTGCCTGGAACACCCAGGGAATCACAACCTCCGCCCTGAGCAAATGTATCAGGGAGATGAGTAGCAGTGGAGCGCCGGGACGCCAAGCCTCCCAAAGACGGCAAACGATAGAGGCAGCCCACACCAGAAAGTCTAGACGTTCATGGGTCAGCAGACCCTTGTGCCATACTTAATGGCCCTTTGAAAGCCCTTCTAAATCCCTGTAAGAAACCATAGGTATCCCTTATATGGTACTTTCCTCAAAATTAGGGTCCCCAACATACTCTAACCCTTATTCTGGAGACCTCTAAAGGGTACCCCTAACTTTGGGAAACCCTAAACCCTATAAATCCCTACAGTGTCCCTCTATATACACATATATATATATACCCTACAAACCCTTTAAAGGTACCCCTAACTTTGGGAAAATCCACCTGGAGCTCTGCCAGTAGGATGGGCGCCAGCAGCGCCACAGGCAGCGCCAGGGAAGCCAGGATCCCTTCGAGCTCTCCGCTGCCCAGGGCTCCAGCCTCTTCCATGGATTAGGGTTTGGGGTTTATAGGGTTTAGGGTTTAGGATTTGGGGTTTTTAGGCTTTATCTTGAGGGCTTAGGGGCTTTTAGGTGGATCAGGTGGAGGTTGCATAAGGATTTAAGCTTTTGGACTGTTGCTTTTGCGGATCTACTCCTGGAATGTTTAACTGGACCCCATCCGAGCGTACCAAAGCTTCCCAAAGTGATGCTGCAAGCAGCCATGATGGGGCGAGCGTACAATGTCGCGGAGCTTGGGACATCCCCAAAAAACCTCCTTGTGACAACCCTCTATTGCAGGGTTTGTATGGCGTACTCTTACCATCAGTTACTATAGCTTTGAAGAAAATATCCCACGCCAGCACTATTCCTACGAGTGTAGTGGTGACTTCTGCGGTTGATGCACGACGGCCTGCATCAGACTCTGCTGGCTACAGTTCCCAAGATTTCAGAATTCAGGTAAATCATCGACAGTTGGAGATCATGGTTTGGCCCTCATCTCTCTGTATTTCCCCAAATGTCAAGGCCATTGTGCCCATCAACTGGGCTGCTGCAAAGGAATTGATCCGGAAATTAGATTGCCCTAAGAAAGATATGTGATACATTGCCACTACTAAGACGAATATGATAGTTGGAGGTTCTGGTCAAAGTTACTTCATTAACTGAAATTCCTCATAATATGGAAGCCCTATTAACCACTACGGTATGTACCCATAGTATGGTAACTTTATTTAAGTTCGTAAACAGCAGCCTCCAAAGCCACTTCCCGTTGTAGCGCCAGATCTCCGGGCTGGAAAGCCTATCGGTATCCGTGGTAAGGGTTTAGGGCTTAAGGTTTAAGGTTTAGGGTGGTAAGGGTCCCGTTTAGGGTTTAGGTTTAGGTTCTAGGGCCTAGTGCGTAAGGCCTGGGTAGACGTACCCCATACGACCCTGTTTTATTTGGGTACTTGACCCGTTAGGGGATTATAGGGCTTGGCGTTGAAGGTTTGTTTGAGATTCAGCGCCGACTTTGGGTTCAAGGCTGAGGTCTGTATGGGGTTTACATCTTAAAGGTTTCTGTTGGGCGGAGTGCTTCGGAATCTTCAGGGTGTTGGGGTTAAAGATTTCAGGGGGATGAAAAAAGTAGGTTCGAGCGTACAGGAGAGCAACTTAACAAATCGACCTTTGCTGTAAAGCAGCAAGTAGGTGCTAAAAGCTTTCAAGCTTCAACGCTTTGGGGTACAAAAGCAGCAATAAAAGATTTATGCGAAAGAGCCTTAAACCCTAAACCCCTAAACCCTAAACCCTAAACCGCCGCTCCCCCCAAAAGAAAAAAAAGCTTAGCCTGAAAGGCTGCAAGGCTGTCCTTCTGTAACTTACGTATGCGTACTTGAGTGGTGTTTCTTTGGTGGTTAAACCCAGTTAACATAATATTCCCTATATAAAATACTATACCCCAAAAGGAGGAGATAATCTTATTCTATATTGGGTACCATAGTATCCCCAAATAAAATACTACTCAATTGGGCAATGGCTTATAGGCACCATTTCGCTGATTTTGACTGGGTCCATATTGTTGATACGAGGGCTACCTCTAGGAATCCATGCATCCATTCCTACAACAGACAGCATCGGCGGATAAATCCGAGTCCGCCTGGAGGAACGGATTGAAATAAAGCAGCTCCAAACGCTGGGCGGTCGCAAAGTTCAACCTTACTGCGATCTGGGCGAAGGAGGGATCATCTTGAGGAACTACCTTTGAGCCGCTGTCTAAACTCCTACCATCCCCCTTAATAACCCCTATAGTAGTCCCCTATATAATCCCCTATATAACCCCTCTTTAAGGAGTTTAGACTAATCATAGCTCATTTAGGGACACTAGGGACATATGGGGATTACTACCGGGAGCCACGGCGAGGATGGTTTGTAGGGACTTTTTTCTCCATATGGGTGGTTGTCAAAATTATGGTCCCTTCTTGGATCCCAATGATAATACGGCACCTAATAGTTAGGGTACCCAAAAAGGGACCATAATTTTGACAACTCCCCATATGACATTCCCGGCGCTATCCTTGCACCGCCGTGATCCAAAACCGACATTGGCCACGTCAGAATCAGAAACACCTCAGCCCTACACTCTTTAAACCTGATGCACCCCTGAGTTACCAAGATCATTCCCTTGCAACACATATGCTATTTCAATCAAAATATGCCCCTACGCGCCATTCCACACAAACTACTATGAAGGCCCAGTTCTCATTTTACTTTCCATTGTCTTTTCCTTTCGATTCGTGACTATCCTAGTCCCCTGCTCCAAAAATACTGGCCCCTGCATTATCCCTATACAACCCGTATCTCCCCGTTGACAGGGCCTAGACCTGGAACCCTAAAACCTAAACCTGAAACCTTTAAACCCCAAACCCTAAACCCCAAACTCTCAACCCTACACCCCAAACCAACAAACAACAATATGCTCCTACTACAGGGGCCTAAATCATTACCAATATCATTTTGAGGTCCATTTGAGGTAACATCTGCTATACTTATACAAGGAATATGGAACCATGATGTTGGTAATTCTTTAGGCCCCTATGTTACATTCCCCCTTAGCCCTTGAGAGCCTCTCCAAGGAGGCGGCGCGCGCGCTCCAGCGAGCGGCGCCTTCGTTGCCCAGCCGCTCCTCAGCTTTGCTTCTCCTAAAGTACCCTTAAGGGTTTAGGGTTAAGGGTTTAGGGTTTATCCTAAAGTACCCTTAAGGGTTTAGTTTTTTTGGGGGAGTGTAGGGTTTAAGGGTTAAGGTTGAAAATCTAGAGGTTGGGATTTAGGGCTTAATGTAAAGGGACCATGAGAAGCCTTATTTATAACTTTGTGAGAGGACCCTATAGAACCCTTGAAGGGTCCAAGTACCCAAATCGTAGGGATTTAGGCCCTAAACACTACACCCAACTATATTTTCAGCCTCAACCCAACATATTTGGGGCTTGGACCCTTCAGTTTTGGACTTTGAAGACTAATAGCAGTGATAGAAATTACAGTGGCGGTATTAAACCTAATGTACTAGAGATAATAGGAAGATTGAAGGACCGCATGTGTTAGGACCTTTTGAAGCTAACTCGATTATGGCTGTTTGCTTGAGGCACTTCCTGATTGCCATGAACTATCTTTTTTCCTATACTTCTCTGGTAAACTCCCCAGAATGCAGCTTGCGCTTGAAAAGCAAGGGCTGTGATTGCAAGCATGCTTCAAGCACGGGGAGTTCAGGGAGGCCTGGTTGTCCTGGTTGAAGGAGGGCATGGATCATTGTAGAGGAAAGGGCAGAGTCTCGATCTGCATGATAGAAACGTGGGGTTAGTGCGGGGTTGAGTCTGATGTAACAACAGCCAATATAAGAACGAAACAATTCAGCTCAAAGGGTCTAGGGCTTGCACCAGAAAGCGCAAGATTGTTGCACCGGCAGGGCCTACTTGAGTGTAAGCACCTAGAAATCCTCAACCCTGTCAATACACGAGCAGAAGAAAGTGTGATTCAGAGTCAAAGCAAGTTACCAGCATGCGCTGCCCCACCACAAGCAGCTGAAGAGGCATCCGCAGGAGGGCCTCCACTGCACTCATCTTGCTCCTCTGCTGCGCAGTCAGCCCAAAGCGGGAGAAGAGCACGAAGCGGTCCGAGGGGTTGCTAGAGGTAACGTGCCCAAGGAGGAGAGCTACAGCCAGGCGTTTCAGTCGAGGAGTCTGCCTGAAGAAGGAGACCCAGCGGAAGAAAGGGGCGAAGCTCCTTGGGCGGTTTTGCCCTAGGGTTTCCCCTACCTGGCGCACCAATAAGGCAGAGCTGAGATTGCAAAGAGCCTGGGTTGTTGTTAAGGAACTTAAATTAAGTCACTATATTCGGGAAACCTTATTATTTACTATAATTTACCCATTATGGTAACCCTAAACCCCTAAACCCTAAACCCTAAACCCATTATGGTAACTTAATTTAAGTTCCTTAATCCCTATATTCCCCCAGCTTCCATTTCATTTTCCATTTTCTTTTCCATTTGATTCTCCATTATA